TAAATCAAGCTTTAAGTAAACGCTGGGATTGGCATTCGGGTTGTTGTCACCGGACGTGAGCCGCACTTCCTTAGTGATGGGGCCTTGGATTTGACTCATCTGTTCGGCCAATTCACGGACTGATAGCACGGATGAACCGATCAAATAGTTGGCAGCGAATGGGTTGCGATCATAGCATTTGATTTGCAATAAGTTATTCATGTCTTCGTAGACAATGAGTTGTGTGGAGTCATTCCACTTCAGTTTAAATAAATTAGATTTCGAGACAATGTTTGTCTGATTTTTCGTGACAATCGATGGCGAAGAACGTGAGATCAATGATCGGTCACCGGTAGGGCTCGTAGCCACGCAACGGACCACTTTTGTGGAATGGGTCTGATATATGTGCTCTTCATCCTTACCAATACTTATCTTACAAAATGCATTCATCACGTCTGAAATGGCAATTCAAATGTGTTTTAATGAACGTTTGTTAAGGAAGTGTAGCAAATGTCTCACTATTATTAGATGTTAGTTGAAGGCCTTCGATCACAGTTACGAATAATCGGCCAATTTTTCGCAATTTAGTTAAATCTTAAATTCATAGTCAAACAAGATAATCATGAGTATTGTGTACTGTACAGGGTTAATTGAATTCAATGATTACTTAATGTTTTTGTAGACAAAAGCTCAAGTCTTTCGACGTCTCGGAAATGTCGTGAAGAGACGTCTATAGACTTAACCCAAAGCGAGCGTTCATTTGTAGAAATGGCTTTAAAAGTGAAATACTTTTGTTGAGAATTGACATGAATTTGAAATAGATTTGGGTCTAAATTGGTGTCAAATTGAGACAATTCCGTAATAATTATGTCATTCAAGAGAATGGGCTCTTTGTATAGTCGATAGGTAGCGGACAGGGCTTTCTCAGAGGCGAATACATTGGTTATTTTAGGCAATTCTTTCAAAGCAATTGTGAGTAACAGGAAATCGTTGAATAAGAAGGCAATCAATTCGCGGCCAGAATTGGCTTTAATAAGAGTTCCCGAATGCAATAACTGGCGCCGACCTAACAGTTCAGACAAATTAGGTTAAACTCTGCATTCAAAGTCAATTGCATTAAATACCCAAACAATTGGTGTCTGAATTGAAATCAATGTTCTGATCGATGCCGTCGACTCTGATCTGCTTTTGAATCCACTGTAAGCGCTGGGAGTCTTCGGTGTTACGACAGGCCTCGTTGACGCGCTTACATAACTCCTGAGATA